CCACCCCCCCAAAAAAAAAACAGTTAAAGTGGTGTGAATGGCTGAGCTCTTATAGCTGTTGGGAAGACATTACAGTCCATTGTAACAATCCTAATGATTAACCTGCTGCAGAGAGGCGGGCAGAGCCACAGCTCATTGTTTAGATGTGGTGTCGATGTCTGGCGTCAAGCATCACCTTCAGCAGCGTAAACACAAGGCAGAGGACCACACCTGGATAACCAAGTGGGTGAAAAGTGAAAAGTCACACAGAGAGGTGCTCTGCTCCAAAGGATGACATAGAAGCTAATTGTTGCACGTATGTAGTAAACATTTCAGTCAAGTCTGTTTGAGGCAGAGGGAAAGATGAACGGCTGAAGGTTCTGACATTAGTCCAGCAGGAAACTCTTCAAATGGAAGAAGAAAAACTTCACAGTAACACAGAAGAACTGCAGCAGCGTCTCGTTACGTATAAACACAGAAAACATGCAGCCTAAACCACAATGATGACAGAACTTACTTTATATGAAACTTCAGCAATTTTACATCTGATATTTTACTAAAAGATAGACAACAAATATCTACTAATATTGTGGCTTTATAGTATAGTATTTAGCATATTACATTTCATATTATACAGTTTATTACATTTTTATTCATTTTCTTGTGGATTTTTATATTTTTATGCAGAACTTGCTGAATAATAACTGAAGACCACTGCTCCACACAATGACAACGATCTAAATTATATAAAATGGAATGGCTCCAGATTTAATTGGGAGAATAATTAGTGAGATTTGTTGACAAGATAATTAGATTAGAATAGACTGTGCCAGTGCTCAAAGTGGGAGGAAGAGCTGATGCATTTGTTTATGCCAGTTTAAATGGTGGGCAAAGGCAGCTGCTTTATTACATCATGTTAAGTTTTAATACATCAAAAAGTAAAATAAATCCTTCGTGTGGAAATTAAAGGTTTCTTATAATTCAATTAATGTAAGATTTACTAACTTCAATAAAAAATGAATAAAAAAAGATTGATGCAGTTAAAAAAACTTTGTTAAAAGATTTGCCAGAAGCTATTCGGGAATCCCACTTTAAAAGGATGTTAGTTAAAGCTGTATAATCATGATTTAATTAGTTCTGATGTTGTTGTTTAGTAAGAGTTTTTCTTTCCACTGTTGCCAGTGTGCTGCTCAGGATGGGAGACAGCAACAAAATAAAGGTTCAACACAATCTGCTGTCTTCCTTAGACTGATATTATTTATAACTGGATTTATATAATGTATGTGACAGTTTTATACAGTTCTCTGAGAACATTTTTTTGACTTGGCACTACATAAACAAACTGAACTGAATTTAAATGAAATTAAACATCAATTTAGGATTAGTACAAAATCAACAATTATCAGTATATTTAGGGTGTTTAAATAAGGTCAGGGATGGTTAGGTTATTATTTTCTATCAAAAAGTTTCTCCTGAGTTAGTAAACACAAATAAAGAAATAGTATGATTAACAGTATGAAGCAAGGCTTCATTAACTTCTCTGATGAATTGTTTACCACACTGAATGGTAATTGCTAGCTTTAAAAAAACAAGTGTGTCTCCAATACTAATTAGGACAGATGGTATATCAAAAACACCTCCAACTCTCCTCTGAACGTTTCTCAATAAACTCTATATTTCTTCTCCACAAAACTTTAAAAGTAAATCTCAAGGTACTAAATATGAACTGATTAAATTTATGTCACTTCCTGTCCTGGCACTTCAGCATGTGACAGATAGTCGGGGAGCCAAAGTCTAATAAGCTCAATAAAACAGGTTGAACCGGACATGGTCTGCCATACTTTTTATTTGTGATTTTTCTATTAATTTTGACCCTAAGTAACAATAATTGGAGGGTCTGCTCTGCTGGAAATATCACGAAGAAATTTTGTGGCCATTTTAATGTATTATTTTTTATCAGAAAAATGTGAGAGGTGATTCTTTCACTCAAATCCTAACTGGGTTGGGTAGGCTGTCAATAAATACATTCCAGATACACAGAACACGTGCTGACAACATACATTGACAAAATAACTCTTAAAACACATTTCTAAATGGTTAGGTTAAATTTAATGCCAAAAATAGACATTTTTGACATTTTTTCCCAATATTTTCATCTTTATTTCATTGGCAATCACATTATGACATCAGTCATTATTTTCAAACAGTATACTCATTCTACAGAAAGAAATATAAAAATCCAACTGAAATCAGTTGATCTGTGATGATTTCACTATATCATATAT